ACGCCCGGCCCCGGGAGCGCCCGCTGCCCCGGCGCTGCCCCGAGCCCGCTGCCGGCGCGCCGCCCGCCCCCGTCGGCGGCGCCCGTTTTGTCTTTCCGCCGGGGCTGCCCTTGACACGGAGTCTTAAGTTACTGCAGACCCTCGCAGACAGAATGGCCACAAGGTGGTCATTAGGGAGAAAGGCACGCCCTTCACTTTCAGGGGCGGGTGCTGGGTCCTTTTTTCCCTGCAGCAGCACTTTAAATGCTTTGCAGAGATGAAAGCAGAATGCCTGCGATCCCTTTTTTGAAAGTTGGGATGCCGCTGCTGGTGAGGCGCCACGGGTGAGGGTTTTAAACGCCGCTTTCCAGGTTGGCCCTGTGTGGGTCGTGTTGACACGCGGAAGTAGATTTTATTGACCGCTTAGGCACACATTCCTGAAGGGAGGTGCAGCGGAGGACGGAGCGTTACCCAGGAGTCACCCGCGTTCTGGTTCAGAGCCCGCTGTCCGGCTTACAGGACCTGGACGCAGCGGTGAGAACCGCCCCGAGTGTCTGGCCCGCAGCAGTGCCTCTTTTGTACTCCAAAGCCGAGGAACGGTGGCCTGGAGGTGTGTGTTTGCGCACGTCCGGTTCTGCTCACCTGAGCTCCAGGAGGGTGCGCCGGGGAACGGATCGGCTTTCGATCCTCCGCCGCCCGGCTGCAGGTGCATTGTTTTCTGTGTTAGAGTCGCTCTGGATGCCTTTGCGAGCGGTTTCTGGAACGCAAAGGAGCAGTAGCCAGGAGGAGATCATGCAGCTATGAGTTAAGCCGTGCCGCGCAGTTAGGCCAACACGGCACACATAACTTTCCATCTTTCTGGGTGTTTTTCTGTCCAGGAAACAAAGCATAATTCATATGCATCCCCTCACCCCGTGTGCGTGTGTGTGTGTGTGTGTGTGTGCGCGCGCGCGTGCGTGTGTGTGTGTGTAGCCCCTAGTATTTATTGACAGTCTCCTGTACTTTAGCAGCCGTGGGGGTTGGAGATTGCTTGCTATGACCCCACTTGTGTAGATTAGTTGTGCTTATGTACTTACCAATACTTCTGGTTCCAGTTGTGAGGGATAAATGGACTATGTAAACGCTGCAGAACGGTTCATTAGTTGTAATCATTTGACTTTTTTAAATTAGAAAATATGTATTCAGTGCTTTTGAAAACTAGCCTGGTTGAAAAATGAGCTTTGCTAATTTAAGTCCTAAAAGTGCAAATGACATTACTGGGAGTAGGATAGTAATTTTATTTATTTGCTTACTTATTTTTTAAAAAATTGTGATAGGACCTCACTATGTAGCCTTGGCTGGTCTGAACTCACTGGGGAGATCAGGCTGTCTGTGAACTGCCAGATCCTTCCCCTGGTGCTGGGATTAAAGGTGCACCTACCATGCCCACCTGAGAGTAATAATTTTAAGTGGACTAAGGTGAGCGAGTGATCTGTAAAGTCACTAAATAGTAGAAACATTACTTATCTGAGAAAATGGACATTGCAGTTTTGTAGTAAACAATGAGAGAAAAGTGAAACTCAACTTACCAACTTTGTATTTAAGAGTTTTAGCCTTATCTGTGGGTGTGCGCTGCTGGCAATCGAACCCCTGGCCTTGGCGTGCTGGGTGAGCACTTTCTAGTCAAACCAAGAGCCCAGTAAATAGTAGTTGTGATTGTAAAGATGTGAAGGTGTGTGACACAGGGACTCACTGTACCTCAGGTCACCTTCAGTTGAGGACCCCCTTGGGCTACCATCTTTCTGACTCCACCTTTCTTTGGTTAGCTGGTCTAACCGCTGGAAGCACGGGACTTAGCCATAGCCTTGTTGCTTTCACAGACCCAGTGAGTGTCCTGTGGGCTCAGTGTGTGGTGATTTGCCAGCAAATGCTGACACTTTATCTGCGAGATCCTCTCTCCTGTTGATATTCTATGGCTCCTCCTATCCTGAAGGATTGGGTCTCCTGCCGTTCCAGTGTGTGTCCTGTGGTCTGCAGTCTGCCGTTGGTGTTTCAGAAGTGCATTGCCACTACCTTGCGATCTTAATTTCTAGTCCACATGCTACAAAAGACAGGTGAGCAGAGTGTATAACATAAGTCTATTTAGCCTAGCACATTAAAAACATGTTATCATATAGCTAATATGAAAATGTTCTCATTGTTTTGATAGCTTATACTTGGAGCACCGTATTCTGCCCACGTTTCAAATTTTCAGTGGTCGTATGTCATTGGTGGCTACTGCGTTATAGAATATACTGTTGTTGGTTAGTCTGAAATCTGTGTTGGTGTGTTTGAGACAGGGTCTCATTATATGGCTCTGACTGGGATTCACTGTGTCGGCCAGGCCTGCCTCTGCCTCCAGTTGCTGGGATTAAAGCTTTGTGACACTTCGAGAGGCTGCTTAGTCTGAACTCTGAATACGCTATCCTAAATATGTTTGCAGGTTAGCAGAACAGTGTTGATCATGAAGTGTAGATTTGGGGGCATCAACTTCATGCTGTCATTAAGATTTCTAGAACCTGGGACTTAGTACTCTATAGCTGAAACCCTTTGCAATGACTGTGGGGTAGGATCCCAGATCAGGAGGGTGGGGTGACGGTAGTAGGGAAGAACTGGGGAACCTGAGCCAAGTGTGCCCGCTGTTATGCGCCAGTTGATTCTGATATTGATTTATCGAGTAGGAAAGTATGCCAAATGTAACATTTAATGAGGCAAATTGAGTCCGAGGCTCATGGGAACCCCTCAGCACTATTTTTGTAGTAATTCAGTAAGTCTTTTTGAAACAAGGTTGTATGTAGCCCAGGCTGACCTTGAGCTTGCCCTGTAGCTGAGGGTGACCTTGAATTTAAGATCCCCTTGCCTCCACCTCCCAAGTGCTGGCCCACATGGTTGATGCTGGGAGTGGAAGGCAGGGCCTCGTGCATGCTGGCCGGCACTCCACCTGAGCCGTGGCCCACACCTAATCCTGTGTCTTAAACTCTTCTAAAAGAAGAAATGTGCTAAAAAAAGAGATGAGCCTTCCCAGCCTTCCATTGCTCCAAGCGTGAGAGTCAGTGCTTTGAGCCCTGATGACTTGCCCTTCGCAGCTTGGATGGCAGAATAGAATTAAGCATTTTTGCCAGAGGAGATAAATTTAGGAAGGACATATTGTACTGAGTACCTGTGCATTTAATTCTCCCCAAATGTGGTCCGTGTTACTAAGCAGCTTGATGTGAATCTTGAAATGTTGGAGACGTTCGCTGCCTTCTCTTAGGTGGCCGCTGACGAAACAGGGAGTTTCACTGTATTGGGTTTTTCTGCTCTCGACGTGCTTTCTGTGTGGTGCTCCTATGGGTGTTGTGTATCATGTTTTAATTTACAGAGGTCTCTTTCTCTTTCACAGTGATCTTTTGAGATTTGTTCTCTTTCTCCCTCTCTCCTTCTCTCTCCCTCTCACTTTCTCCGTCTCTTCCTCTCTCCCCCCCACCTTTCTCCCTCTCTCTCCTCTCTCTCTCAACGCTAAAATGGCATAGCCCAGGTTTAAACCTTAGGCTCTGACCTTGAGTTCTGTGCTTTTTCTTTTCTCTCACACAGTTTAGAGTGTGAGAGTAGTATCTTTGAAAAGTGGATGAGAAGTACTTGTGTTTTGTTATGTATCATTACGGTTTTTTGACTTCACTTTTATTAAGGTAGAGTATATATATACACACTAACCCATGTCCTATTCTATAGAGCAAGTCATGAGTGGGAAGGAATAACTGAAGCACTGAGACGTACTGAACCTTAAGTCACCTTCAGTTGAGGACCCGTTGGGCCACCGTCTTTCTCAACCTTTCTTTGGTGATGTGGTCTAACTGATCGAGAACCTAGTGATTGAGCTGCTGCCTTGTTGCTTTGGTGATGCTGACTGCAGTTTCAGTTCATAGTCTTACTAAATCCTGAGGTCTGGATGGCCCTCCGCCTTGCTGCTAATCTAGGCTTCTCCAGTCCCGAGGAACAGCGGAATCACCTGCTCTCTGAGTAAGCCCCAGGTTGTGTGCATGAAGCTCCTCTGCCAAAGCTGAACTTGCTTTGACTGAGGTGTGATACACGCGCACTGGAAATACATGTGCTCAATGAAAACGAGTGAGCGCATGTGAGGAAGTACAGTAACGCACATGCGCTTTGGAAGCATTATTCTAGATGAGGCACAGGAAACACACAAGGCTGTTTCATTCCCTGTGAGTTCTTTCTTATTTTTATTTTTTTCTGTGACGGCTTTTGCATCTTTGGGCAAGCAGTGACTAATGGGGTACTCTCTGCCTTGCTTTTTAAATTAGTAGATACATTAGCGCACATTTTGTCTTTCTGTTAGAAACCCTTCCTGCTTGTTCACTGTTTTCTAGAGGGGTGTACCAAAGTTTATTTAGGCATTCAGTGGTTGACAAGCCTTACTGTGGCCTGACATTGCTGCATCTCTTGGGCAGGTTACCGGTTTATACAGTAAGCATATGCTTATTTTTATCAGGAACTGACAATGTGTTTTATAGAAAAGCTGTGTTATTTTGTGTTCTCACAGTGATGAGTTGCCGCAGTTCTTAATCTTAAAGAATACTTTTTTAAAAGTCATTTTTACCAGTGTGCTGGAACGTACCTTTCATCCCAGCACTCAGGAGGCAGAGGCAGGTGGAACTGTGTGAATGCAAGCCAGAGTGGTCTACACAGTTTTAAGCCAGCCAGAATTACACAGTGAGACCCTGTCTATAAGAAAAAGCTAAGTAAGTAATGATGTTTGGTTGTTTGACTTAAAATGGGCAGATTGATGAGCTTAGTAATATATATACATATACCTGTGGACACACTATAGTTTGAGCATATTTGCATTTGTCCGTGTGTTGGAGCTGGTTCCCAGTGTGGCAGTGTGGCAGGAACCTGTAGGTGTCTGCACCTTGGGTTGCAAGTGCCCCCAGAAGATAAGTTGTGGACTGGAGCGTGGTGGCACACACCTGTGAGCCCAGCACTGAGGAGGCAGAGGCAGGGGCCCTCTGAGTTTGAAGACTGTCTGGTCTGGAAAGTGAGTTCCAGGACAGCCAGGGCTACACAGAAAGACCCTGTCTTAAACAAACAAAATAAAAGATAAGCTATGAAGGTGGCCCAAAACAGAATTGTAGTCTGACTTGAAACAAGATTCTTTGGGTGTGTGGTTTTAAGAATTCAGTCCCACGGTTGAGTGTGACATCTGCAGCTGATGACATCGGTGGCAGTGATGGAAGATTGGGAGGTAGGGCCTCTCTTCAGCGCACTGCCTTCGGGAAGAATTCTCCTTGGGCCTGGCTAGTCTTGGAGAGCAAGCCTGGCTCCTCCTCAGCGACAATTTGGTTCTTATTCTGTGGTTTCTCCTTCTCTGTTCTCCTTCACCATGTTGAAGCTGTTGGTTACCGTCTTTGTCCTCAGCCTCGCCGGTGCCAGCACCGCACCACAGCACCGCATTGTCTTAACTGCAGAGCCATGAGCTAAGGACCCAGCTTCAGTTACTGACTCAGACATCGCTGCTGTCAAGACTGAGCATGCCTCTCGCCACTCACTCTGCATCTTGACTTTGTGTGCCTTGCTTGCTGGCACCCCTCCCCCGCTTTCTGTCACTACACGTGGTTTACATTTTCTGGAGTCTTGTGCAGATGGCCTCTCACGCACAGCCTTGGGATTGCCTCTCATGCACAGCCTTGGGATTGCCTCAGGACAATGACGTGGATTCACCCAGCTTGTGTCGGTACTGGTTCCTCCCTCTTTATTGGTGAATGGCGTTCCTGAGGTGGACGTCCTGCAGCCCGTCCATGCGCTGTTGACTGGTCGTTGGATGACGAACTGTTGAGAAAACTGCCGTTGAGAAATGGAAACTGTGCTCTCATTTCTCTGGTAAATCCCTAAATGTGGAGCCTATGTCATGTGTAGTTAAATTTTAAGCACTACCTAAATGTAACAAGTATTTTTTCTTCTTGCCATCTTACATCTTACCAGCAGTGTAAGTCCTGCTGCTCCACATTCCCAGAAACCTCAGTGTAATTTGACTTAGCCCAGTACATGTGTAGTGGCCTTGTTTTTTAAAAGTTTTGTTTTCCTGGTGGCTGACAATGTTGGTTATTTTTTCAGGAGCTTATTTAGTATCTGTAGAAATTTGTATAAGCCTGCTAAAACTTTTTGCCTCATTTTTTGCTTTGTTTTGGTTTGATTTTTATTGTTGAGATAGTCTCACTGTATAGCTCTAGCGGCCTAGAACTGTATTTTGCAGTGCACACCGGCTTAAATGCACAGAGATCTTTCTGCCTGCCCCTGCCTACGGAGTGCTAGGATTATGTCGAATTGTCTGCTCATTAACTTGTAAACTCAATTTTCCAGGTGAAGAGTTCTTCGTTGGAATGTTTTCAGAAATCTGTAGTCTTCCTAATCAATTTTTTAGTGGGGTCTTCTTCTCTTCTCATTTCTTAAATGTACAGCGGGAAGTCTCCACAGTATGGTGGCTCTTAGGAGGCACTTTGCCATCGGGAATTATGGCCTTAAGTCAGTAGAATAGACGCTAGCACAGGCAGTTATAAAGTAGATCAGGAGAGTGAAGTCTGGTGGGGGAGCAGCGTTGAGAGGGACATCTTGAGGGTGGCCCACTGCTGCAGGCGATGAGCTGCAGGCAGCGTCAGACACACAGGCCAGAAGTAACGCCGGAAACACACGCGGCTGGGTTCAGGGCAGTTCATCTCCCTGTCCTGCTTTGGTCGCCGGGGCTGTTGCCACACACTGACTTACCCAGGAGAGCTCTAGCGGAAGGCTTTTCACTGCTGAAATCCAACTTGAATGTTGGCATTTTGCTGTTTTTGATCATTGGAAGAAACTGCTGATGAACCCAGATGTGGTTGTATATTCCTGTTAATTCCAGTAGTTGAGAGATAAGGATGGTGAGTTTGAGACCAGCCTGGGCTACATGGTGAGACCCTGTCTCAAAAACTCGCCAAAAATCAGAGTAAACCTTTGCCAAACCAATAATCAGTAATATTTTCCCCATTATAAGCTTTTTAAAGTCTGTGATCCATTTTGTTTTCCAAGAAGCATATAGTATAAGAATGCT